CCAGCCCCGGGGCCCGGAGAGCGGGCATCCCCGTCGCGCGGCGGGAGGCTCGGGATGCTGCGTGCGCTCGCGCCACAGGGCGCATCCAGGCTGCGGCGACCCCTGCCTGGCTCCGGACGCAGCTCGGGAGCTCTCTGTCGGGCTCCTGGCTCTGGGGCGCGGACCAAGGGCTCCTGCGCACTGCAGCGGCGGCCCGGGAGGGAGGAGGGAGCCGGAGGAGGGAGGAGGGAGCGGGAGGGGGCGGGATGAATCACCGCGGGGGGAGGGCGCGGCCGCCCAGCCTTTGCCGCAGCGGCCCGGGAGGCGCCCGGGCACCAGCCTCTCCGGTGGCTCTACGGCTTCTGCGCACCCGATGAGTGGCCTGGGTCACTCCGACTTCTCCAGACTCTTTGGGGTCGAGGGACCCTTTCCTCTTCCTCTTCCGAGAAAGGTCATCTCCAGACCCCCAAGAGGACTTGGAGGACAGTTTGCGAGACCAGTTTTCCTCTTCCTAATTATGGAGGTCAACCTTATAGAGTTCTCGAGGAGATGGGGCTGGGACATCCGAGGGACCTACTTCTGACATCTGAGATTCCTCAGACTGGAGGTCACTGAGCCAGAACCTACGAGGGCATGAAGGGGTGAAGGGTCAGGCTAGGGCTATATAGAAACCTCCAAACTTATCCAAGCCGAAAGGGTACCTTTGCATCCCCCCACTCTGGGGGTCGGAGGTGCCGGGTTTCAAAAGGGCCATTCCCGCGATCCCCCGCTGCGACTCTGACGTCATCTTCTCAGCTCTCCTCCCACTCTACCGTCCACCGGTTCCCCCCACCCCCAGCGCACCAGCTCATCACTGCTTGAGGGCCTTTGCCCTACTTCCTGCCTGGCCACCCCCCACCCCACCCCAGCCCACTATCCCCAGGTGATGGAAGGCTGTCTGTTCTAAAGCCCACGGCTCCAATGTCACCTTCACAGTATTTTCTGTGCCCATTTTGAGTAATCTCCCTCCCTCCGTACTTACTGGGCCATCTCGGTTCATATTTACTTTGTGAGAACGGTTGTTAGTACCTAGCATTATGGGGGTTTGTTTTGGTTTTTATTACATTTTATTTACTCTGTGCGTGTGAGATCACACACCCATACCAAGGCACACATGTGAAGGTCAGAGGACATCTTGGGGGAGCTGGTCCTTGTCTTTACTATGTGGGTCCTGTGTGTTGAACTTAGGTCATCAGGCCTCCTGGCCAGCACCCTTAACTGCTAAGCCTTATTTTACCATCCCACCCCACCTCCTTTTTTAAATAGACAGGCTCTCACTATGTAGCCCAGGCTAGCTTCTACACGGTGGTCCTCCTGCTTCAGTATGCACCACCACACCGTGTTTGTATTCTTTTATAACTAGTCTGTTTGCTGCCTTTGCCTTTCCCAGGGGTGAGGATACTGTCCTGTGTCCTAACAGGTCCCCAGCACCTTGATCTCTGCTTGCCCCATTACAGGGCTCTGAGCCACCAGAACTAAGGTGGGAGACTCTTGGCAGGGGGTTGCTGGCCAGTCCTAGTTTCCAAGTCTGCTTGGAATAAGGTCCTGGAGAAGCCACAGCGTGGGGCAGGTCCAGGACGTAGTGGCAAGCAGCCAGGGACACCAGACACCTTTGTGGTCTGGGCTTTTGCGCCAGCGCCTCCTGAGCCGTGAAATTCCTTGTGCAGAAAATAACTCTTTCACAGTTCCAGTGGCCCTGGCGGGGGCAGTGAGGAGGAGGTGAAGGGAGGACAGGCCTTAGGCACGGGGCACCCCCTCACGGCCCTGCAAGACTGGTGTCCGAGGAGGCCCTCTGTGGTGGGGACAAAGCAGCCTTTCACTTTAAAGAACTTAATTCCTTACACCTTCGCCCAATTCGCGGGTGTGAGGAGTCTCAACTTGGGGAGCCGCAAGACAGCATCTGTAGCAGCGGGGGCGGGGCGGGGCGGGGCGAACTGCTTTCGTCCAATCCTTCCACCCCACAACCTGGCACGTGACCTCCTAAAGGTCCTTTTAGACTGACAGACTCTTGGGTCCCTTGGGCCTCAGCCCAGAGTCTGGAGGACATACCTGGGTTCTACCTGCACCACTGATGGCTGATGGGGAGGTGGCTGGTTCCAAGAGGGAGAGCAACTTGAAGAAACCTGAAGCTCTGGGGCTGGAAAGATGGCTCGGCGGTTAGGAGCATTTGCTGCTCTTGCAGAGGACCCAGGTTCGGTTCCCAGCACCCACATGATGGCTCACAACCACCCAGGACGACAGTTTTAGGGGATTCGGTGCCCTCTTTTGTGTACGCATCCATACACACAGGCAAAACACTCATTTGTACACATAAAAGAAAAATAAATCAGAAACAAAAATTTACATATGGAGATGTCATGAGGGAGTTAAGAATTTGTCACAGAATGAAATGATCAGCAGAGCTTGGCCCCCGTTTGATGCTCTCGACACGAGTTTCATTTTTCCTTCCAATTCTACGGTAAATAGAACGAGTTCTGCCTTACTCTGTGCCAAGTCCCGTTAGGAGCCATATTCTGAGCCTGGTGATACAGGCCTGTCATCCGGCTCCAAAGGGGACTGAGTTGGGAACACAAGTTCCAGGTCCTCCTGGGGCTTTTCTGGGTGAGTTCAAGGCCAGATAGTGAGGACCCTATCTCACAGTAGAAAAGAAATTGGAGATTTAAGTATTAAATCTGATTAAAGGTGGCCCACAGCTTTAATTCCAGTCTTAGAGAGGTAGAGGCCGGAGGATCTCTGTGAGTTCAAGGCCTGCTTGGTCTATATAGCGAGCTCCAGGACAGTCGGCGCTTCATAGTGGAACCCCACCTCAAAATAAATAAATAAACATAAAATTTCAAATAAAAAAATGTGAAAAGACTGGGGATGAGCTGGGCAGTGATAGCACACGACTTTTATCCCAGTACTCGGGAGGCAGAGGAAGGCAGATCTCTGTGAGTTCAAGGCCAGCCTGGGCTACAGAGTGAGTTCCAAGACAGGCTCCAAAGCTACACAGGGAAACCCTGTCTTGTAAAACCAAAAAAAAAAAAAAAAAAAAGAAAGAAAGAAAAGAAAAGACTGAGGATGCAGCTCTGTGGTAGAGTGCTTGCCTAGTAAATGTGGGGGCCTGAGGTTCAATCCCCAATCCCCAAAAGGCCACATGTACCGACTTCAAATCTCTTTGATGGCATATCTCAATTGTGGTCCCCCTCCCACGTTGATGTGGCCCCAATGATTCGCAGGCCATCTGGGATGGCTGCTCTGCACTTGAATAAGGCAGAGCTGGCATCAGAAGACAGGGACAGGACTCCAGTCCCTGCCCCACAACAGTGGGTAGGAGACCCCCATCTGCTCCACAGGCACGCCATAGCCATTTCCAACCCTTTATTGAGGCTGTCATCCCCAAATAAATATAATACATTAAACCCAGAGATGAGGGTCTCGTGCACCCCAAAAGGTGCCCCCCACAACCCCAGCTGGGCAAAATAAGTTAGTTGGGGGGGAAAGAGCCTGCCAAAGGCCAGGCCAGCTCCCTGGCTGAGCAGGCAGTGGCAGCTGGATTTGCACACACAGATCTAAAGTGCATCTTGGTTCTATGGTCCCCAGGTCTGTGTGGCTCTTGGCGGCGCCACTGGGAGGGGCAGGCGGGAACCTCCCGGCGACGTTCACACCGTGCCAGCAGTGGCTGCCAGGGTTCCGTGTGTCCTTCTGTCCATTTGGGGGTACGGCTTTTCGGTACCCTTCCCCTTTTCGGTTCCCTCAGGGGAAGCTATCATCAGGCTGTGGCTGAGTGTCCAGAGGAGGATCCGGGACGGTAATTCCTTGATGTAACTTCTCCAAGGAGAACTTCATCTGCAGGAAGAGGACGAGGAGGTGGGATGAGCACACTAGCTATGCTCTCTTGCATGGCCACGCTGCCCCACCACTTGATAACCTCTCAAAGTGCAATCCTGGGACCCAGGTGGTCTGGGTTCAAATCCTGACCTTGCTAATACTAACAGTGGATACATCCCTCCACTGCTATGGGCCTACTTTCTTGTCTGAAGTACGCATGATTAAGATCCTAGCTTTATAGGATTGTGTCAGAGACTAAGGGATGCTAGAGCCTGGCCCACAGTAAGTTCACCAGGTGACCTTGACCAAGTATCTAGTCTTGAACCAAAGGATGCCACACAACTCCTACATCGCGTCCGTCCGCTTACAAAAGGGGGACAAGATGCTACTTCTTAACTCTCAAAGGGCTCCCTCCCACAGGCTAGTGGGTTGAAAGGTCCCCACCAGATGGCGCTGTTGTGGAAGGCTGTGGAGCCCTCAGAAGGAGGACCTAACTGGTTACTTAGGTTATGGTGGGAGGCATTTGAGAGTCACACCCGACCCCTAATTCCACTTCCTGGTCTGTTGTTCTCAAGCTCCCAGGGCACCCACCATGACGGACAGCACATCTTGAGCCTAATAAACATTTCCTCCTTTTATGGTTTGGCTGTGAAACGGCCCCCACCCTGGGCTCAAGTCCTTGAACACTTAATCCTCAGCTGGTCCGGAAGCTAACTGGTGGACCTAGGCCACTAGGGACGGGCCTGGCGGATTACAGCCTGGCTTTTCTTCAGGTCTCTGTTTCATCTCCACTTCCTGATCCCAACCTAACCTGAGCACAAACCAAGGCACTAATGACGTGGACACAGCCTCCCCAACCACCACGACGGACTCTATCTAGAAGCCATGAGGAAAAGCAAGGCTCCCCTGAGATGCTAAGCGCTGCCACGGTCAGGAAGGGGGGTGGGGAATCAACCAGTTCACCTTGCATCTGCCCATAAGTCGGTGACAGTGAAAGTAACTTCCTGCGGCAAGGCTGGCTGGAGG